TCCAACCTAGATGATTCTATGATTCTATGATTCTATATTTACTCAGTTTATGCCACTTCCTTACATTTGGGCATCTTCTGCTTCAAAAGTGAATCTAGCTTTTGACTTCTAGAATCAAGTAGCACATGATCCTCACTTGGGTTCATAGACAGCCTGGAAACTCAAGGAGATGTTGCTGAAACCTCTGCAAGTTCACACTGCATGGAACATCTATTAGGAGTGATAGGTATGTATTATGTACTGCGTAACACTTAAAACTGTTAAATAAAAATAGTTGTTATTGCAATGACATGCAAACAAGGGCATTTTTAAGTTCTGAATACTGAAGTAGTGCTTCAATACATCTTGTCTGCAGCAAAATAAGTGTTCCTGAAGAGTGATCTGTTTCATTTCATAAATTCAAGCTTTATTTGGTGCCATGGCATCAATAGTTACTCACACATGATGATACTACTGATTTACAATCATTTAATGTATTATGCAACATGTGAAGCAACCTTATGGAAAGTCACAAGTATAGGAAAGATCATAGAACTAAAGTGTACAGATGAAAAGAGTTTTTTTCTGTTTCCACAGTTTCTTCCTCTTCAGTCATCCTTCATTACTTTTTGACACTGAGAACCTGACCTGAGCTAACAAGAAATATTCCACTAGGCTCAGTGCTAGGAAAGAATTGTAAGAATTACAGGATTTTTTTTGTTGGTGGTTGTTTTTTAAAAGAAGCACTAGTTTGCTATACCAGCATGTTCCAGCATAAGGGACATTCATTAGCCCTCAAGTGCCAAAAAGTCTTGATCACCTTGCCTTTAGTTTCTTTAAAGAGAAAACCATAGTTCTCCTGCCCGCTTACAATTCATGTCATCTGAATGCCTAATAACTGAAATTTGCACAGTGTCTGCCATGACTTGTTACTTGCACCACTTACAGTGTAATCACACAACAGAATATAACTCAAGAGCACATCACTAGCGTCCCACAACACCATGTCCAAATTCTATTATTGGGACGCATGGCATTTCAAGATATTTCACCTTTCTTCTACCTTTAGATTTCTCCCTCTCAGGAAAGATTCCAGCTGCACTTTGAAAACAGCCTCCTCTTGTTTCTCTTAGAAACAAGATGAAGAATTCTTCAAGTTGGCCCAAGTAACTGAAAGCTTGCCCATTAATCAGATGGAATTCTTCAAAAAAAACCTATGCTGGATCAATCCTGCATTTCTCATCTGCTTTCCAAGACCATGTTAGAAATTAAGACATAATGCAGAGCTGCTTTTCCTCTTAAAGACAAAGCCCAGTCATAGTCAGCATGCAGGCTCCTATCAGCCAAAGTACCAGTGATATAGTGCAAGATAATAAGTCAACAGTCATTCCTGGAAAGTCTCCTCTTCTACTTCTTCCATCAACTTGGCTGCCTTTTTCCTGCAGCTTTCAGCTTCCTTTCCCTCCCCAGACACTCCCTGCAGACTCTTTACATTCTTTCTCCTGAGATCACTGCTCCCGTACCTTCCCCTACGACCCCTCACTGCAAGGAACTGTGTTCTACTAAGCAACTGAGAATTGGCAAGCTGCAAAAGGTTAAGGTGACCCTGAAGACTGTATCTTCAGCAGACCTCACAGGTCAAATACCTACTTATTAAGATGAACTGTCAGCATGCCTAGCACCACAAAAGCTAGAGAGCAACAGTGTCTGCCCAAAAACTACCACTTCTTGCACTGTACACAGTCTTAAAGTAGCAAGGAATGTTAGTGTAGGACATCACTTATAGCAGAAGCTTCAGAAAAAAAGCCCCAAACACCCCATCAAAAAAAGAAACAAAAAACCCCGTAAGTAGAGACTGAAGTTCAGTATGGGCTCCAGGATCTTAAAAGGGTCGGGCCTGTGGGTGCCTTGAAGGCACTGCAAAAGTACCTTCACTGCTGAGTGTGTTTAGAGATTTTTCTTCTTGAGAATTAGAGGTTTTCAAATCCAGAAACTTGATGCTACTGTAAATAATAAAACCTTGCTTCTTCCTAAAGTGTTCTAGGAAAGAGTCAGTATTCATCTAATATACAATCCACTGGAGATTTACAGCATTTGAGCAACAAAATACATTCTCTTTAAAAGAAGAGATCAAGTCACGGAAATCTGGATAATGCAAAAGTAAAATTCTTTCCACATTGGAGGATGAAGGCAACTCCACTTCTTAACATGTGCCACTAAGTAATCTAGTGATCAGTTAAATCTCTAGAAACTAAAAACATCCAGCTCTTTGCCACTTTATAAATGTGAAAGTAGACACATGATTTGGTAGCAGCCATTTTTTCAGGCACAGAATAGTGAAAGAGGTAGAAAAAAAGAAGGATATGTCCTGCTGCTGTAGTACTGGAAGAATAGGCAAGGGTAGGTGTTTTTCTGATCTGGTTGCAAGTTTACAGTGATTTCTAGCCATTTAAGTACCTTTTTTTTTTTTTTTAAAGTCATATATATATATATGCTAAATCAATAACGCAATTTGAAAGTGCTGTATCCAAGACTGGCTCGACCCCAATGTCTACACACCAGAAGTTTCACACACGATGCATCTGCAGGGCTGTTAATAAGCACAGGCCTTGACTTCTGCAACGGGCTCCTGAGAGTAACCAACACCAGCTCTCTCTTGCTCCTAGTGGTGTCCAGTACTGCTGTCCACAACTATTTTAAAATTGCTTCTGAACTGCCTGATCCTGTGGCACTTGGACTATTATCCATCTTTGTAAAAGGAGGGGTTAAGTAGCAGGTAGCAGTTGTAGTCCTTTCTTACAGCTTCTCAGCAGTTTTACTGGGGATATCTTGGACATGTCTGTTGAAGTCAGTCCTAAACAAAACTTCTAACTGGGAACTTTCAGTCTTTAGGAAACACCTTTGTAGTCAAACTGTTTATGTATGAGACTTCTTCAGCACTCTTGTCACTAGAAGCGATAGATAAGCACACCCCCACAGAGAATATACTGGAATTCAGTTTTGACAGCAAGTTATTACTAATTCCTGACATCCACTGTCACGCTGGAAACATGCATCAGAGGAAGAGACAACGAGAAGAATACAGTGGTCAGGTGATCTCAAACATGTTAGTAGTTTGTAAATCAGAACATTTCTCCATTAACCTGGGCTGGTACAGTGTTGAAAAATGATAATTTAATGGTAATTTCTGACGCACTGTTGAGAAGCCTCCTGCTCCATGAGAGTGACAAGCAAGCTGAAAACATACAGGGGGGATTTTATTCTTACTCAAGAGGTTAGCTGCTAACATCACAGACTTCAAGAGCATAACTAAATAACTAAATATGTTATATGTTAGTTGTATAGTTGGCATTTCGTACAAGTTCATTGTCACTTTAATTTACTGTTAATGCTACGTGAAATAAAACCCAGACTCAAGAATGCCTAAATATAGTATTGATCCAGCTGAAATTACTATATTTACAGGAAAGATCCAAAAGAAACGCAACCCAGCTCAAGTGTGACATGTAATGAAAGGGCAGGAAGCTGCCATGTCCATCCTCTCCTTTTTCCAGAAATTGTAGTATGGTGCATAGTTATTGAATAATGTGGAAAGAATACCTGCTTACCCCAGCGTGGACCTGAAAACTAAGGTTCTTAGCTGTTCAACCATGAGGTAACACAGTCTTAAGCATGTACAGTTTTCTGTTTCCATATATATGCAGAGGAGTCTATTAGCTAAAAGCACAGCAAACAAAGAGGTAGTTGGACAGTCTACATTTCCTGTTCCATCTAGCATCCAACATACAGGCACCTCTTATACAGTTAGTTAAATTAGAGGCCTTGTAACAATAGCTGAACTCAGTATTACTTCATCTACCTTATAAGCTGGCATAGAACACTAGAGCAACCGAACTAACCTCCAAAGAGATCCACTTCAGCAGTGGCAGCAGTAATAGTTGTAGTTGTAGCGGCAGCAGCTGAAGTAGTTGTAGTATCAGTAGTTGCAGCAGTAGTTGCACTAGGCTCTGGGGCAAATGGATCTGAAATCTGTGGCTCAGAGGTAACACCGGAAAGTGCAGCCAGATTATCTATATGCAATCATATAATGAAGATCAAATAGGAAAAGTAAGGGGAAGAGGGAGAGAGACCACAACCACTCAACTCCAGAAAGTTGGAGCTTTTAATAAGGAGTCTTAACATTCAGAAATCTTAGAAGTGAAAAATATTACTCACCCTCTCCCAAGAGGTCTAGTGATTGTCCATTAAAATGACAGCAAAATAAAGAAACAGACCAATTAGTAGAACTGCCAGATTGAAGATGTTCATTAGCCATATGTTCATTCTCTAAGTGACATGTCTAGGTTAAACATAACTTCTGCACTTGATTTTCCAACATTCAGGAAGTTATTGTTACATGGCAAAGTTCATTCTGTTTAATAGCTCTATTCAAAACAGAACCAGTACATAAGTTGCACACATTTGGTAAGTTCCTTAATATCTAATCAGCAAGATGTTCAAATACTGGTAGTATTTATCACTTCTGTTTTATACAGCTGGTTTTCTTTTCTTAAACTGTAATAGAGAGAACCAAGTAGTGGCCTGAGAAAGGGTTGACAGGAAGGTCTCCTACCTTTCACTACCCCAGGGCAAAGCCAAGAACCACTTCTTTAGAAGCTCAATTCACCACTATACTAGTTCTCTCTTGTATTTGGCTTAGCAGTGTGAGAGCAACACCAGAAGTAGGTAGACCTCTTTGAGGTTTATGAACAGCTAACATCCCCTAAGAGCACTGAAAATTTTAAATGCAAGTTACTGGGCCTAACAGCACACAGATTCAAGACTTTCACCAAGTAAAAGCGTACATGGGAAGAGTGAGCCCCAATGAACCCCAGTGCTCACGTAGAAGTACAGTAAACAGGCATAGTTGAAGCTTATTTAAATCCATGAGCTATTAGCAGAACATACTGAGATACCAAAGAGAATCTCAAGATAATTCTGCTTAGTTGCAAGTATTTTCTAGACCAAAGTAGTCAGAAAGCAGTCAAAATCAACACTGCAGTCATTAAAAGTAGACAGAATTCAGCTTACTGTTCTATGAAAGCGAGCTGTTGTGATCCACCCGTCAGCCCTAGAACCCTTCACAAAACTGGCACCGAAGCCAGGATACTGTAGCAGACAGCAGCTTGCAAATACAGCATTAAGTTATTTCAGGATACAATACATGGCATCCCTACAGCCCCAAGTATATTCTGAGAGGCAGACAGGCTGTGGTTCTTGTACTTGAGACAACTGTTTAGTAGAAGAAAAAAAAAAAAAAAAAAAAGGAGAGCAGCCCCTGTTTGAAAGCTGCATTTGTGATACAGCAAGCATACTATGCAGAATCAACCACCTCTGTTAACACTTGCTATGAAGAGTATGAATGATTGACAGCATAACCAGGTTGGCTTTTTTCAACTTCGGTTCCTTAGTCAACTGTTTCTGGATGCCAATAAAGTATCTTTACTGACACACTTTCCTACAATTTCATGTCCTCTGAGATCAGTCAGATTGAGCTCAAAGACAGAGGAAGCTTTGCCTACATTAAAAAACCAACTATAAGCTATAAAAGCCTGTGAAAACTAACCAGGCCTATTACATTTTTATACTGGAGTTAGAATAGTCTGAGCTCAGCAACTACCTATTTACTAACCAGTAGCCCAGTGTTGCTCCTAGATTCATTGTACACATAACAGGGTCATGGGTTCATCTGGTCCACACTGAGCAGCCAGCACAGAGTCCAGATGCTTTACTACAGGTCAGTATGTAGGAAGCAAAATGCTTTGAGCAAGCACAGCTCAATCTTCACAAGTTTGTCTTTATTTTGCAACACTTGTTAAAAAGCCACCATGAAACTACATGTAGGTATTTTCGTAATTGGTTCCTTGGGAGAGCTCTACTTGAGACTGACTGCACAAGCTGAGGTAAGTCAAAAAGCCATTCTGAAAAAGCGTAACAGTATATTAAAAATGCAGCACTCTGGTATCTCATTACTGCACACCAGGTGGACATCTCACAGCTAGACTTGAAATAAACAACTGTTGGCAAACTTTCACCTTCTATTAGCTCATTCTTCAATGCATTTTTGTTATCCAGTTATGTTATAGATCACAATACAGCGAAGTGATAATTATCCAGCATGGCAATCTACACTTACTGTTAATATGAGAAGGATTAAAACCAATGCTTTATCTTATAGTAATATTAAAGTAACAATACTAATAGCAAATCCATATTCTAAGGCACACTGCAAGGTAGTTCAGAGCAGAAATTCAAGTCAATTTGCTTTTACATCTGAGAGTCAGACCTCACAAGGATGCAGAATTTGACCTACTGTATGTTGTGTAATACTACAGTCTAGTTTGCCTGCCAAATGCCTATCTATTCACTTGTGGTATGCTGCAGGCAGCTTATCACCCTACCTTGATCACCTCCTGTTAGCACAGAAGCGTAGATTTTCAGAAGTTACAGTAAATTTGCTAGATAACTTATGTTGCATTCAGAAATATACTAGGTATAAAACAAAATATACAGTATACTGTATATACCACTAAATATATAGTGTACTATACCAAATATACAGTATATGCCAGAATACATGGAATCTACACTGTCAGTAAGACTGAGAAAGTAGGATTGTTTGTTGGTGACATGTATTCCTGATGTTTATGTGACATTCGAAGTGCCAGTTTGGTGCTGCATCCTGAAGTATTTGATATTCACATTTTCCTAGCTATTCTGAACTGCAGCAATTCTTCCAGCTTCCTCCTCCTACTACTTGTTTCTCATGAGTTTCCACGTTAACTTGCTGTGGGCCAGAAAAGTTTTGCAGATGAGCAAGAAGCTCAAGTAGCAGGGAGGCACTGTTACACACCCTCCCAAATGTCCTGGGTGGAAGGAAGGTCACCTTGTCCAGCCTCCTGCTCAGAACAACATTACACCCAACACCAGATCAGGGCAATCATGGCTTTTGTCTAGTCAGGTCTTGAAAAATCTCCAGGAACTGAGAGTCCACTAGCTCGCATCAGGGATCTGCTCCAGTACTGCCCTACCCTCCAAGTGAAATACTTTTTTCCTAGTGTCCAATCAACCTCTGATGCTGCCATCTATTGTTATTACCCTTCATTATAGTCAACTATCATTTCCAAGAAAATTTTGGCTCTGCTCTGTAACTCCCCTTCAAGTAATTGTCAGCTACTATTAAGAGTCCTCTTTAGCCTCCTCTTTGCCAGATGACAGAGGCCCAGCTCCCTCAATCTCTCTCCATAGAGATGTGCTCTAGATCCCTGGAGTCCTGGTAGCCCTCTGCCAACCCCCTCTCCCTTAAACAGGAGAGTCCAGAACTGGATGCAGTATTCCTGACGTGGCCTCACCTGCAGTAATTAGAAGGCTCTGTAGTACCTATGAGGCCATACAATTTATAAGGACTACTGGCTTCATCCTGCAGATTTAGTTTAAATAAGTAAATAAAAAAAACCCCAACACTTAACAAAGGCTCAAAGGTTCTCTCATGACTGGATGAAACATTAATGGAAATTATGGAAATTTCAGTATTTTCACAATAAAGCCATTCTAGTTCTCAATTTATGCATGTCTGACATGGTGTTTGACAATTATTTAAAAGAGTTTAAAAAAGGAAAAAAAAAAAAAAAAGGAAAAAAAAGAAAGCAGCAAGATTCCAGTGCAGTGACAGGTCATCGTACCTGGATTCCTGCTAGCAGTAAAGCAGACAAACTTGAAGCTTACTAAGTTACCAAAATACTATTCTGAAAGATAAGACTGAAGTATACTTGATGAGGTTAGCGACAATCCTGGCCCAAGGAAAAAAGTTAGCTGTCCTTTTCCATTGTGGAATAAGAAGACTAGGTGCATTACTAGTCAATTTTAAAAGTTTTCAGTAATTCAGAATAAAACCACCCAAGTTGCAAACTACAGGTGCTTTGTCCAAAAGAGCAAAGCAAAAAACCAAATAAATCAGCTTTTAATTACAATGCAAATGAATATTTTACAATATTAATGTCTATTTACTCTGTATAAATGAGCAACTGCTTTAAAAAGTTAGCTGAGAGGCCTGAGCTCTTTTGAACATCTCAAAAGCTTGTGTTCCAGTACTTGGCAATGACAAAGCAAGACAAATAGGACGCAATCACAAATTGCAGAATAATTAGTCCCAGGCATCCTAGAATAGATGACTCTTTGGTCTTGCTTTCTGGGTAAGATTACATTACAATTAATGAAATTGACACTTCTGCAAAAAGAAATATTCAATTCAACAGATTAAATAGAAACATGCAAAACATGGTCTACATGACAGCCATAGCTATCCTGTCATAATGAAGTGGCTGAGATACCATGTCGTCTTTAATGAACTAAAGCTAAGAACAGAAATAGGGAATGCAGAAGCCTAGTACCCAGTATTAGCATTCATAGCAGAGTCAGCATGACTCAGTGTAGAATTCCTGCCATGAGATGGCTGATGAGTTCATTAAGCTGCCACACAAGCAAAGATCTCTTAAGATTACACCACAGTGGGTTTACAACTATGTAAGTTAAATCACATTTACTGGCCTAATTCCTTGTCTTCACAGGACAGGAGTGAACATTGCCTACATTTATTGCAGTCCTCTTCAGACCACCAGCTGCTAGTGCTGCCTGGAACAACAGCCTCAGTTCACTACAGAGCTCAGATTTCAGAGAGCTAGTTAGGTATTCCTATCTGAAAGCAGTTAGCCCTCTACTTCCATCTTCATATTATTATTCTAAGTAGACAAGGAAGATTTTAATAAAATATGTTAAGGGTTGTCAGAGGTAATCACACTTGCAGCAGAACTAATTTGCCACCATTGCCTTTAGATGCATTTTTGGTTTAAAAGATATTTTTGACCCTCCCCCTACTGATCTGTGGGCTTTGCTTTAGGAACAGAAGAGTTGATTTCTGCCCTCACCTTGCCAATAAGCACATGAGCAGTTCTTCTGTTTTAAAGTGCCTACCCTACCTGTTCACTTTAAGCCATCCCCTTTCTGCTCACTCTTAGTTACATAATCCTGGCTCCCCCAGCTTTGCAGTCAGGACCTTAGAAGCAGCTTATACTATTATGCATAGTGGAAACTTCTGGAAAAAGGAGTAGCCCTTTTGCTGCAAAGGGATGCCTGACTGAAGGTCAGCTGAAGCCTGGGAGTGAGCTGGGAACATCGTGTGCCAGCAGAGAAAGAGCCAGGTTTCAGTTCAGCCAGGCAAGAAGATGGAGACTGCAAGAAGAGATGCTGACAGCGAGGTTTCTCTACCTCCCCATGAAGTAGCTCCAGCAGGGGCTGCTGGAGCTGCCTGCCCAGTAGCGGCAAAATCTGGCTGAAGATCCAAAAGATCACTGGATAGTTTGGAAGAGCTGCCAAGGAAAAGAAGAGAGATATTAAATACTGGAAGAATTTGTCCATTGTAATCAAGTTTAAAAAAAAAAAACCCAAACATGACTGGATTATAGGAATTACCCTTAGTTTGGATGACTGATGAAACCATTGAGAGACACATTTTTTTCGGGCCTTAGCATTAGAGCAGTGGCCATAAACACCTCTACTGCAGTAAGTACCAAGAATACATTATACCCTAGGATGGCACCTTAACTTACTTCCATTACTTGATAATGATATTGTAACAGATGTGAGACTTTTACAGTCCTAAAAGCCCAAACAAACAAAACAAAAAAAAACCAAACAAAAAACCCCAAAACCAAAACCCAAAATCCCAAGTGGTCCCTAAGAACAGAGCAAGTAACTGCTGCAACTGAAAAGAGCTCCATTCTACTTCAAAATTTCATTGTGCCACATCAGAAAGCAAGAAATCCACATTTCCAGGCAATAAATAGGCATTATGTGGAAGAGAGTTGGTAAAACTTATATGGCTTAAGCCAGCCAGATATTTGCTTAGGAAACAAGGTCTTGTTCATTTGGAACATTTAAATAGTAAACAATAGAAGCTCTTTCTTCAGTGAAGTACTTCACCTGACATTTAACTGAAGTTAGTCACATCTTCAGACTTTTGGTTCAAGCTTAGAGCTGCTACATGTCTAGAGTTCTTTCATTTCTACTCATTACAATGAGCAACAGTGGTTTGTTCTGGATTTGACTTGAAAGCAAGGTTCAGATTTTCTCATCAGTCAAATGTTTATTTTTTATTTTAACCTCCAAAAGTTCATTAATTTTGTGCTTCATTAACTGATTTGAACAGCAAGAAAAAAGAATCTTAATTTAGCAGTTTTAGAAACAGAATAGTGAAGGTCAGCAAAGACTACTTTGGATTTGCACATTACTCCAGTCTATTCAATTAAAAGTTTATGTTGAGAATGGTACAAAATCATTACTACACTGAAAGCAAATGAGAGTAGCTGCAATTTTTTTTTCGTTAGATCTCTGTATGTGTAGAGTAATGTAGCCCATTCAATACTGATGTACACTACTTGTAAAGCAAGCAAAACCTTGCAAGCAAGCCTCCTGTTACAAGTGTGGCTTTGGCATCCACATCAAGCTCGGTAACTCAAATATGCTTTCTAACTTACCTCACTGGAGCAGCTGTAGATGAAGTTGCAAAAAGGTCAACTGGAGGAGACGTATCGATAGTTTTTGCTGGAGTAGAACTAGGAGATGTAACAGTTGTGGCTGGGGAAGACTGGAGAAATATTTTAAAAATACACTCAATATACCAGCATTTCTCCACAAATAACTCATGCACAGATTCACATACTTTAAAAATCCAATTTTGACATCAGGTCATCTTATTGTGAGCTGTTCCCCCCTTTGAAAGAATTTAAGGAAGACTGGGCTAAGTTTTCAGAGGGTGGTGGAGTTGAGAAACTCCAAGGTGACTCCACCTCGTAATGCCTAGCTCAAGAGGAAACACCTACTGCATGCATTCAGAGCACCTGCAGACACCAGCAGCCAGTCTCATATGAGCTTTAGTCCCTTGGTTTCACGACTCACCCAACATCCAGGCAACTCACTCAGAGACTTGTGATCTGGATTTGCCTTACCCACCTTTTAAAATCCCCATTAGGGTAACTAACAGTTCCTATGTGTCAAAGGTTTCTCAGCAAGTTCCAAGAAAATAGTTTGCTCCCCAGCAAACTCCCTCCTCTCAGTTTTGATACCATCCTGAAGATGGGAGGAACAAAGTATTTTTGTGGGTTTGTTTCTACATCTGTCAGACCCTTCATTTTGTCCACAGAATGAAATATCTATTTGTCCACAACAGCACCTTAGTACTCTAACCACAGAAATGGTGGGAGAAGAGAAATGGTTAGAAACTAAGTTAAAAGTGTGTACGTAAACCTTCAAACTGAAGAGAGTTTAAAGAGCCATCAACAGTGCTAACTGTTAAGTTGTTGGGAAGTGACTGCATCACTGGACAAAGGAAAAGCAGAAAAGGGTTGGGCTAGATGATCTCTAAAGGTCCCTTCCAACCCAAAGCATTCTATGATTCTATGATATAAAAGACAGCTCAGCCTATGATTTTGCTTCATGAGCTCCTCCAATTCTGAATAAAGATACCTTAAGTATGGCAAGAACAGACACCCTGGAGAGTATATTGTAACTCTTCTGTGCACTTGAAGACTCAAGTTACCTTGAAGAGTGTCAATTTAATTCTAAAAGATACCACAAGCTTTGTTGTAGCACCTTGCGTGCTAGAGATGCTTTTCGTATGAAAACAAGTCCTATGTTTATTACTGTTTGCCATTCTGACCACTTCCAAGAAAGAAAATGAATGGCAAATATGAAGCGATTTTCTTCTGAGTTCTGCTGCTGCCATCCCATCATCACAACTCTAGCAGGAGATGGATATAAGCTTTCTAGACTTTCCTTAAGCCTTTACTAAGGTTTAAGACTAAATTGGTCCAAATTCTTCATGTGAACCAGAGAAGAGGGGGCTACTTAACACTGTAAGAACACTTTCTGAGCCATAATGTAGTTCTCATCAACTGCTACCATACTGGATAAGAGGGGGTTTTGTTTTTTTTTTTTAAAAAGTGCTCTTTGGAAAGAAATTTAAGAGCTTTCACTAGAATCAACCATTGAACTGGCTCCCTCAGATTCAGAAGTTTTCATTGAGTTTTTCCTGCACAACACCCATTATTAGACACAGAACTACAGCACCTGGCAATGCTTCAGGGATACCAGGAACTACTATTACCGACACTGTAAAGCTCATTAGTTTATCTGACACTCAAACCAAGATGTTTTCACTGGCAACTCTTGCTTTAGATTAAGGTGAGCAGTCTCACTAATAAAGGTAAATTCTGAAATTAGATATATCCCATGCAAGTTTTCTTGGCTTTTCACATAAATGTGTTTTTAAAAGACTCAGCACTTTCTCCTAAAAAGCTGCAAATGGAGTGAAGAAATTGGAAGACAAATAGTACAGAGAAAGTTTCTCACCGACATGAGGATTAAAAAAAACAGCTGAGACAAAGCTATAGGCACCTTTTATGTTTTCACAAATCCCACAGTGGTATAAGTACTACAGCCCTTCAGATCAGCAAAATGCTTTTCTGGGGTCATTATTTACAAGGCCATTTAAAGATGCAACTTTGTCACTTAGGTGGGGCCTAGCTGATGAAGTCTAAAAAGCACATTAGGAGATGGAAATTTAACTCCTTATGCCCTTAAGATGTTCTAAAGCACACCACCTGAACAGGAACTAATTAGTACGGCAATTGACAGTATTTACCTTACTCAGAGGAGAAGGAGCCCCAGATCTAGAGGGGAAAAAAAAAGGGGGGTGGGGTGGGGGGTGTCAGATAAGTACACTTTTGGAAACTATGTTTCTAGTCATCAGAACTCATGCAAAAAAAACAAAAGCTAAGCATGACAGCTTTCTGAAGATCTCTACAGTTGCATGCACTCCCCATTTCTCAAAATTTCATGTGTCACTTTAGACAAGGAATGTAAATTGTTACTTCAAAGCTTAAATGAATCTTTTAAGCTAATTGGTATCACAGGATTATTCTGCCTTTTAAATAAGCTCTACTAAATGGAAGAAAGGCAGAGATGCATGCAAGTGTCTTGTGTTAGGGCCTACAGGAGCCAGTAGGAAAGAGTTATTGGGGCAAGGCATCGCCATATTATAAAATCATGCAACAGCAGCAGAGTAAAATGAATATGGAAGCAGTTATCTAACACAAGTCTTCTGAGGATATGTCAGTGAATTTTCAAAGTCTATTGCTCTTTTACAGAAAGTCAGAGTTACTTTAAAATAGTGATATTTAAAATTTAAAAGTACGGAAACAGTTTGAATGTCCAAGCTGAAAGTTCTCACACATGCAAGAAAATCACACAAACACTAACCAACAGAGCCTTAATCATAAGTTAAAATGTACATCAGTGTGTTTGTTTACTTTCATTATTATGAGGTAAGAAAATACTGCTACACATTTTTAGAGCTGCTTTGATCTAAGAGATGAAAGGAGAAGTTGAAGTTAAAACTGCACCAATATTGAACTAGCATCCATCCTATAGGCTACCTGAATTGAAAAGTCCTAGGAGCTGTAGAACTGATTAGAAGATCTAGAGCTAAGACAGAAATGACTAAAAATAACTTACTGACTATACACAAAAGCAAGCAAGACTTTAGGTGCAATTTAAAGAAGATATCTATTTCAAATTGTTCAAGCCATCTTAAAAAAAAAAAAATTATAACCATGTCTGCATGCAAGTGATATGTGAACACATGTACTTACCCTTCGCTATATTGCAAGGAAAGCAACAGTAAAAGAGAAAACACAGGTTTAGCTTAATCCTTCCTAGACTTAGCCATGACAAGTATCTAGTAAGAAGATGCAAAGCCATTAGAAAACAAATCAATTTTGATAATAAAACCCTTAGCAGCAGGGAAAACCAGTTCCTTCTAGGAGTTTTCCACAGTTAATTTTACTTCATTTTGGGAAGCGTCTAGTTGTTCGGTGTATCATTTCCCCCCACCCCCTAGTAAGAAAAAAAAAGTTGCCATTAAGACACCTTTGTAAGAAAAAGGAAAATCCTAGTCTTACCACAGCTTATGTTCCAGCTAAGTGACAAAACGAGGTTGGGGGAGGCAAACCTAAACACCAGCTAGTCTCACGTTGTTACTATTATGCCTTGATACATGGTATAACATATATACCTACTTGTTGCCAGGTTTTTTTCCTTCCAGCGAGTTTAGATGTTGCTCAAGGGTCTCCATGAGACTGCTAGGAGCCTTGAAAGCAAAGAGAAATACACTTCTAAACACAATACATTGACCTAATGATACTTCAAAATCCAGCACCAACTTCCCTGAAGTCCACCATGTGCATGCTCATGCTGATACTTTATTCACACCACTGTGAAAATAGTGGATTTCCATGCTAGAAGTATTCAGGCAAAGACAGCTTTTGAAAGATAATCTTGTGTCTAAATTTGCAGAGAGAAAACATTTACCTCTACTAAACAGCACCTGAAGCCTAAATCCAGGCCATGCTGCTGATCATGCTTTGAGTCAGTATTAAACATTGACAACAGCACAGGCATCCACAGGGTTAATTTTAAGAGTAATAGGTTCAAGGTCATCCTTCCAGTTTTGCTTTTAGTCGGACCTCCAACATCTCGTTCATGACGAGAGGGTTAGCTAATATTTGCAATCTAAACAAACTAAAAGTCCTTTCCAATGCCCCCCAAAGCAGCTACCTTTGGTTCAAGACTCCCAACATTACAAAACCTTAGAGCCGTTTGTTCTCAAAATGGTAGCCACCCACAGGTTACTGAGCCCAGAAGTTAACTCAATATTCAGAAAGATTACTATTTTAGACATCTACAAAAAACTAAGCTTTTTCAAGCCTCCCTGATCTCAGGTTTTATTTTAAGCAGCTTTTTTTGTGGTCAGGCAATACCCCCAGGCATGCACTTGCTGTTACAATGGAAGATAGGAAAAGTAGTCATAAATGCAAATGACAGTGTGTTTAGCTACTCCAGTATAAAAAAAGCATCCAGATAAGTAGAATCCTACAAGATCAACAAGCAAGGAGGAAACCCTTGAGAGATACAGTAGCATGTAATAGTCAATTATTTCATCAGGGTTACCGGTTCATCAATGGTACAGTCTTTAAACACGGAATTCTCTTTATCAGTCTCTTTCAGATCAACCAGAATTCCTGACAGCAATACCTACGATGTTTTTCATAAATAATGTCTTTAATTTCAGGGTATACATATGCATCAAAAAAGTCAGTTTGTGATGCTTGAAAACAGACTATCCACTGCTCCTATGTACAGTATGTTGAAAACCAGCTGGCTAGCTAAATCAGATGTTTCAGGATGCTTAGTACCTGCTAGTACCAATGCACAGCTAAGTGTACTTATACTGTCTGCCTATTAATTTTGGCACTAAAACTGAGCAGTAAGGTAATTTAACACAAGCAGAAATTTAAAAAACTCAAAAAATCCTTAAATGATGGCTTGAGTTTAAATGTCCCACATATATACACAGTGCAGAAACATCTTAGCCGTTGCTGCTTTTATAGGCATATTTATTCATTTTCAACTAATTTGAGCACAAGAAAGAATTTTCCAGCAGCAAGAAAAAGATGAGCAAAGGCTCTCATTTGCAAAAAAAAACCCAAAAAAAAAAAAAAAAGCCTCCTCAACCTCCAAAACCTTGAAACCTTGCAGCCAAACTAGAAAGTCCAAAGATGACAGCTATCAATTTGTATGTCAGTACTGTGTCCACTTGTTTGGATTTACAGAGTATGTACACGCATCAAGAGCAAAACAACCAACTTCTTGTGGAATACTACTGACTATTGCTATGGCTTGCTTTAGGAATTTAGGTATACCATTGACATTATATACAATTACATACTACTTATTAGCTGAAATTCAGTTTTATTATCTGCCTTTTATTTATTTCTCACTGAAATACACTGCCTAGGTCTTATACACAATTGACAGCATGTGGCGAGTCCCAAGCAGCCTTTCAGAGAATACAGCTATGAGGGACTACTTGAGAAGACCACTGAAGTGGTCAGCCAGTTGGACTAGATGATCATTGTAGATCCCTTCCTTCCAAAGGAACTATTCTGTTCTATGTTAAAGCATTGGTTCATGAGGTGAAAGGGATCCTCCAGTAGCAGTAACTAAGGTGCTGCTGAGCAAGTGCAGCACTGACTGGTGATGCAGAACAGGGCTTGTGCAGTCCCACCAGGCTGATGCAACACAAACAAAAGCAGATAAAAGTGCTACAGGAATTTATAAAGCATATTTCATTAACTGAGCTTAAGGTGAGTTCTTCTGGTTCAAGGACTTAGTTCATGGCTGACTGGACCTTGTTGAAAAAGAGCCCCTGAGGTGCAGTTAGGTGAACGTACTACTTCAGCTATTTCAGAATTGGGTTTGGTATTCCACACGCTGCTAGAAGTCTAAGCTTTCCTCTGCTGAAAGAGTGGCCAGACTTCATAACTCCGTAGCATCTGAAACCCATAAAGATTAAAACTCTCCACCCTCACATCATGTCTCACTTTCAGAATTTTTAACTGGCTTTTTAACCAAGAGAACCAGTATTCTGATGCTGATTTAAACCAGGCTTTCAAGAGGCTTTCAAGAACTACAACATTCATAGCTTATGAATACTTCGGATTTACAACTGTTAAGCAGTTTGGGCTGCTCTTCTGTTCCAATTTTACTGGCATCAAAACTGCCACGAGTGAGCTCTTCAGCATGGATCTCTTCTTCCAAGTAAATATCCTTTTCATATTAAACACAAAGCCAGGCACCCAGCCCAATTTGCAAGTGATGTTGAAAATGGACCAGCACAATAGAATTTAGGCAGCTACAGCATAAGTGAATTTTCGTGTTAAAAATTTTGATGCATACTGACAGAGAAGTTCAGCAATCAAATCACAACCTCTGCATTTAAACTTCAAGTTCACCGTACCTAGACCAAGACAGCAGTGCTGGTGCTGCTCTGAATTTAATCTTTGGACCAAGACTGTATCAGGGAGAGATTATGAAGCAAGTCACACTACAATCTCTATGCCATCTGTCATCAAAAATGAACTTGAGCTACAAGCTGCAAAAATTTGTCCTTTAGTAAAGAAAGAGCAATCCAGCTATAGGTCAGAAGTCATCATGAAAGACATTATTTTAGTTATATTGGTCTTCAAAAATAGCTTTGGGCAGTTCTTACTTGCAAGTTGGGCAGGCTTTAAAGTGTTAGGTGGTATGCCTTCCTACCAACATTTACATTCGTAGTGTGCTTCCTAATTACAGAACTTCTAGCTATTACACAGATCCAAAAAGACTACAAGAGAAGCTTACCTGTGTAAGATCGGGGATATCGCCTTTGTCAATTCCAACTTGCTGCGGATATAAGAGGTAAAATGTAAATGCATTATTCCAGTGCAGCAGGCACTAATTTTGACTAGAACTGTGGTACGCTCTTCAACCTATAATGCACTTTATCTACAGAAAAAGACTACAAAGTTAGCAAGTGCAGATGCCCATCTTTCCAGTAGCTATCTCCAAGAACCTGCAGCAGTCTTTTTTTTTTTTTTTAACCAAATTAAATATCCATTTTAAAAAAATAAAAAAATAAAGGAGTTCAATTCCACCCAGGTGAAGTTCATACTCCATACTGCAAGTTGGGCAGGGCTTTCTGGTCATATACCGTTGTCTCAGAGGACAGCATTAGTGAACTGCTGAACCCATGCTATCCAGATACCTGACTATCCTAATGAAGTTCTCTGAAATTCAGCCAGTGAACAAATCCTAGAAGACATCACTTAAAAAAATGCTAAAGCTCAAGTCACTATGTTGTTCTGCCCTTCTCTCCTAGCACTTCAAATACAGCAGGATGAGGTCTAAGTGTGCAATCTTCTATTAGTTGTCCTGTTGCTTCACTATCGTTCTTCAAAGTGCTTGTTGGTTTACCTTTTGCGGAACAAGCTCCACCACACATAGTAATCCTGAAGCATAGTTGCTATAAGCCCTGTCCTGCAAAGCAGACCTATAGGTGTCTAAAGTGCTTCACTCCCTCAAGTTCAACATTCATATCAAACATTACATGCCATTTGGGAGCCTAGCAGGCTCCTTCATAAATAACTAAGTAAATTAGCAAAGAAACAAAATTTTATTCAGCTCATTACTTCTGGCCGTTATAATGAAGCATGAAACGTGGAAAATGTGCATCTTGTGCCAAGGAGCCAACCACCACAAATGAGAGCCCAGCAAAAGAGTTAATTAACCATGTAATATTTTTCTTATCCACATAAGAGGATGATAACAAGGATCAAACCCAGGAAAATCTCACATTCCAGTTAAATTGTAGTTGGCTGCAAAGACTTAAAAAGCAGACTTACAAAATCATTATGCTTTTATTCCTAATTGCTCTATCTTCCTCTAGTGTTCAACCCTGTCCTAGAAGCATGCATTTATTAGAGCATTTCCAGGAAATGTTGATATAGCTGAAGTCATGCCATCTGTTATGTTACCAGGAAAGTTGAGGCTGGCTGCACAGCACAGACATGTGGAAGTCCTAAGCAGGGCTTAACTACTTCAAGAAGAGCTGAACAAGCAGATCCAGGAACTTCTATACTGCCTCACATTTATACACAGTGAGGCAGATGCTTAACAAGTGCAATTAATATTTTATATCGGTGCTAAAAAATTCACAAAATACTTAAGTGCCAGACTCCAGAAGACTGGAAGTCACTTACCTCTGCAACTTTAAGAAACTCTGATACTCTGGTCATTCGAGTAAGAAATCGTTTGTAGATTTCAAGAGCATCTTTACATTGTCCCTTTTTCATTTCAAAAAATTTCTCTAGAGAAATAATTTGGCAAATTTCAGTTAAGATATCTTACATTAGGTCTGCATTCATCAGCAAGTCTAGTTTTCAGGAAAATCACGTTTTAAGAATATTGCACTTCATTAATATTTTTCTACTTGGGCACTAATCTAGTGGTGTTCCTAGTCCTTAGTAGAATTTAGAAGTTGGGCTTGCTGAGCTGCTAAAGAATTATATAGACTGGAAAATTACACCCCAGCCAGCCATAGCATTGTGTGTGATGTAAACCAGGTTTTTAAAGATAAAAAGTAAGGAGGTGAAGTAACTACCAAACTTAAAATTCAAAGTAATTAAGGATACTTAAACATATATTAATACGTCCTCTCCCAAGTTGTCTTCACTCCAAAGAACAGTCCTTTTTTTCATTTGAGAGGCTCTCTAAAGTTGGTTTGTGTCCATTATCAAGCACAACTGCCACATATAAGTAGCAGTAGACAGCAAAATCTCAATCTAATTGTTATGCCCACACATTTGTACCTGCTCCATAAGCTTCCCATGCCTATAGTTTCAGTCAAAACACCTGGGACTTACTTTTATGAAACCACCAGAAAGCATTGCAACACGGATACAAAAAAATTGTCTGAGCTTTGCAGCTCAGGAACATCTTTTTGCCTGTTCAGTCTCTGCAACATCTCAGTTTCTTCCTGTTCTAGTTGCAGCCAGAGTTTTAGGTCAGTCATGCTGGCCAAGCAATATCAGTTTTTAGCTGTCTTTATAGACCAGCTGAAGTGCTCACAAGTTTTAATAGTTGAAGCTCTTTTTCTACAGGGTCAGTTATGTTTCCTGCAGTTTATGGCAACCCCTGGTTTTAGACTCCATAATAAAGTCTTTTGCAGGGATAGCTTGAGGTGTGTTAAGCTGGTGATCACGCCAAGCTGTCTGAGCTTCGGAATGTGCTCACAGCCTCCTAAAGACTTTGTAGGCTGATGGTAGGTAGGGCTCTGGAGGGGATCCAGCTTTGGCAGTCACACTTTCAGACAGATCAGGAATGTTATTCAGGAGTATATTACTTCATATAGGGCTACCGCATAGCATATATAACAGAAGAATCTGGACATCTTAAAAATGCAATCAAATAACAAAAGTTGCTTTACTAACCTTGCAGGACATACTATGGAAGCTCACAGAGCACTGTACATTTCTTTAGGCACAGAAATGCTCACTATCTTTAAGCAAACTTCTGTACAATTTTAAGGGCATACAACAACCCAGCCTCAGATGAACACTGACGTAAGAGGTTATGGCTTAAATTTTTCTCTCAAGAAAAATGTATTAAATTTTAGTGAAAATTAAGTAAAAAACACCCACTGAAGCAGATCTGAAACTCATTTTTCACTTGTTCATGGTATGTGAGGTATAGACACCAGGTTACTTACCTAGTAAGTTAATAACCCCATCATTGTAGCAAGCAAAAAGTTTGATAAGATCTTTAAATAGAAGCATGAATGCAGCATTTATGACACCATTTGTCAGTTCATTCGGATGAACCTACAAATAAAACACCAGTTATTTACAGCAGATTTACTGAATGCAATCAGAAGTTTTAGCTTGCACCAGGTATCTGATGCTGTTATAGAATCAAGCACTGAATACAAGCTTTCACACAAAGAAACCAAAGGTTTTGGTTAGCAGATCAAGGATTGCTTCCTTCACCAATCCAAAACAGTCCATTACAGCAGAGGAGTATCCCCATCAACAGTAAACATAGTCTGGAATCCTTCACCTATCACAGAGGTGGAAAGCAGAGATGCTATTAACAAAGCTTTAATGAAACTGGACAAGAGATGTCAGTTCACAGCAGAGCTGAACAAAACCTCAGTAGTCTAATATGTAATCAGTTGTGTTAATGATGTCAAGCCCCTTCCAGTTCTCACATTAGCTTGGGCAGAAAATAAGTGCTTATTTATTGAAAGATCTTTGTTTTATTAAAAAAAATCTCCTCTTCCATGACCTTTATCACAATTCCTATGCCGTTTAAGTAACAAAAGCACATTAGCAAGACATGTATTTCTAAGGCCTTCCTCTGACAGCTGTAGTGGGTCCTGCCTTGCATCTGGAAGTGTGTCCATCTGCCGACCAAGAACAGAAGAACTTCAAGATGGATTCCTTCAAAGACCTCTTGGCAACATTACACTGTACCTCCTACATCAACTGACTCCTGTTTTTATCCTTAAGACAGATAAATAATCCCACCAACTTTCATAACATTTTTACACTATAAATATATTGTAGACACTTATTTCTGTGAATAGTCCAATCCAGCCTACAGCTGAAAACCAGACGAATGTTTTGAGGAGCCAAAACAATGTACATGTGATATTTTAATCGCTTTTTCTCTCCCCCCAAAAAAAGTTGGTTGCCAAGAGACAGAAAAAAAGATTCTTCAGTCTCCTTGCTTTGTCCATTTCTTCCCCTCACTGATGCAGAAGATGAAACTCC